AAAATACATACGTATGCAACTGATAACTTTAGTCATGTTTACTTAACTCAATAATAACTTGACTGGACCTTACAGTCAACATGAATCGATACTGACCCTATTTACTTTCTTAATATATTACTTAGCCCTATTCATCAGTGTTCATCACCAAAATGTAAAAACGTTCTCAACCTAATTTTTCTCTTCCTCTCATGTAACAAAAGCCACATAGGCGGGAAAATAATATTAACCAATAATATCATAGCCTAACATGTTAGATCTAATCGAATGCAAACAATGAATACTATATTTTAAGCTGAATCAGATGTACCTCAGATTTCTCTGTATATATCTGTCTCAGTTGCTCCACCTCAGTCTCCAGTTGAGCGGCTGTAGACAAAGCGTCTTCATACTTTTTCTGCAGCTCACCTTTCACCCTCTCGCAGTCTTTTTGTTCACGGATATATTTGGCTGCCTCTGCGTCCCTATTACCCTGAACATATCAATTCCAAACATTAACAGACACAGCCTACTGCAACACTGACATTGCTTCTTTATTTATCATCAATTTATTTATTCATTTATTTAATCATGTAAAGACGTATTCATAAGGAACATCTGGTTTTACCTTTAGAATATCTAAGGTGGTCATTTCAGTCATTATCAGGCTCTTCATTTTGTCGATCTCTTTCTGCCCACCAAAAAGAAAAGACATCAAAATCACTTGATTAGGAAGCAAAACTTGGCAAACAAGACAAAAACAAAATCCAAAGCAGCTCAGAAATGACTACAGTATAATTCCCTATAAACATGTTATCTTAACAGTTGTCAAAAGAGACCAATAAAGACATTAAACTACTGTAATCAACCAATACTGCTAAACCTCTTATGTAAAATAATAGTTTACGTAACTGTTTATTAGTTATATAAGTAAATATTTACTCGCCTTCATGTTGTTCTAAGTTATTTTTTTCTATAGAACACAAAAGTAAATTTGAACGGGGCAGGTGTCCTCTTACCCTGTTCTTCAGCTCCTCCAGAAAGGTTTGGCGTTCTAGACAGTCCAGCTTGGCTTTGGTGTCCAAGTGTACAGCAGACACCTGGTCAAACTCGGCTTTGACCGGTTTCC